TCTTTAATTATCAAGTACTTTATATTATAATGCATATAACTGTTAGAGTACTTGCTACTCATAGAGAAGAAAACTATTACGATATATCACAAAGTATCTTCGGTGATTTAATAATTGAATTTAACTATATACCAAGTCTTGAGATAAAATTTTATAGTAAAAAACTTGATTAGTGGCCTCAAAGTATATCACAAAATAAGCTCCTATAGTTGATAAGACAATAATACATTGCTTAATATTTTTCTCTATAAATTGCTCATTCAACTAATAATTATAAATCATAAAGTGAAATTTCTATTATTGAGGTAATTTATAGAATAAATATTTAAAATTTTTATCATTTTAAGCTGATTAAATTTCATGTATGTGAGCATATAATTCTTTGTCTCTTCTAGATATCTTGTTTTTTTTTTGTATCACTTTAGTGTTTCGTTTCTAGGTAACTATAATATGTACTAGTATTCCGACTACAAAATTTATATATGATCTGGTATAGGCTTGAGCATGTAACAGACTTTTAATTGTGTATACATAATGAATGTTTTTTTAATTTACTTTTTCTCAAGTTATTTTAAAAATACTTATTTTGATTAAAAAATTTTACTCTTGTCATTTATTGAACAAAGCTATATACTAAATTTCTTTAAGATTCAGTCAATATATTTTTTCCAAGACAGTCCTAATAATTCTTGAGATGTATTCCGGAATATCTCAATACCAATAATATCAATTGCATCAATCATCTCAACCATTTTAAGGTTCTTGGTGAGAAATTTTTTAGTTCGATATAATAAACTAAGATCACTATCAGCAAGCAAAATACTATTCACATATAAGTCTAATATAATAAGCTTACTCCATTTATCTTCATATATATATATATATATATATATATATATATATATATATATATATATATATATATCAATAATAAATTTTTTTAATTTGAAGGTAGTAATAATATCAAGAAACTTTATGTATCATTGTCTAAATGCTTATTTATGGTCATAAATGAATATCCTAAATTTACATATAAAATTTTATATTTTTTTAATTTATTTTCGAATCATTTAGGCTAATCCATATAAATATAGATCTTTATTAAGAAAACTTATTTTTATATGCATATGATCTAACTCAAAGCTATAGAATCGTTTAGACTATCGAGGAAGAAGCTCTCATTTGAGTGACACGAGTTAGATGCTGCAAGAATCCGATGACAGTCCGGGAATAAAGGACGAGAAGGTGGTGCAGATGTTGCACGGGTTCAGACCGGTTAGTGGTGACAAGGAAGGCATCCTTCTTTTCCTCTAAGCAAAGCAAGACTGACGCTTAGTTTGCACACGAAACTCTACAATAAATCATTCTTGTTTTTTGGTACTGACAAACGAATCGATTATTTCGTATGAAGCTTCAAATTCGAGCTTCCATCTGCCGCTGGGTGTGTAGTTTCTTGCGCATGAGTGTTGCGGCACGCGAATGAAGCGGGCAGAAACATTAGAGCAAAAAGCCTATGAAAGAAATGCTGCAAGAGACAGACAGCCAGGAAATAAGTTGGAACAAGCTTCGAAGGAACAATGTCTTGAGACGAGAGAGAAAAGGGAGATTGCTTCCACGCTCAGATAATGGCGTCGCGTGCAGCGATATTTTTATTGGATGACACAAATAGAATTATTGTCCAAGAAAATAATGTCATCAGTATTATTTCCATGAAGAAGCACGAGTAACATTGCACCACCGCAGTTATATTTGGCTTGGGAGGAGAATACATACATACATATAACACAAATATACTTTTGTATTTTTCCGTTCTTTGCCTCGATGACCCTAAAAAATTCGGATCTTAGCTTTCCTTTCCTCTTGGTATGTTTTTCTTTTTTTCTTTAATGTCGAGATGCAGTTTGTTCCTATAACATGTCAAGTGCCTCGAAATATTCCATATGTGGAAAGAAAAATGATCGTTCAGAATTATTTTAGATTGATGATGAACTCGGGTTCAGCTTAATTAATACATTCGAATTATCACATGATAATATTTTTAACAATTATGATATTAATTCTTAAATTGATAATAAAAAAGAAGAGGGAAAGAATCATTATTTTGTAAGAAAGGAAGAGATAAATATATATATGAGAATCACCTTTACTTGCTTGGATCTGCCAACTATGTAATGGTGGGAGTCACGATCTAATCGAATTTGAAGTAGTAGTAGGTATTATTGCGTGTCAATCAATTGAGGAATCATGTACTCAATTAACATGTTGAACTTTTCACGTTGGTAGAATATTCACAGACGGTATTATCGAGTATGTAGGAGCTCATTCTAATGAAAAAAAATCAAATGAAATAAGAATTTAGATAATCTCACATGTACCTATCATAAGCATCCTGTGTTTCTATGTTCTATAAACTTGTATGTAACTATCAGAGTTGAAATATTCATAAGAATGTCAATATTCCACCTACAAAGCATTATACACATGAAAGTTTGCAAAAACAAAAAGCAACATTCAAAGGAATATTATTTTATAGGATAATTCTAAAAGTTTTGTCTTTTTTCAAAAGATGGTTGAATATAATATTTAAATTTTATTGATATGATTTAATTTTTATAATATCTCGATTGGTCATACATCTAATAGATGTACTAAGATTAAGATTAAGATTAAGATTAAGATTAACTATAATGATCTAATAGATGTATTACTATTAACAAGTTAGTTATCCCATCGAATCAGATTGAAATAATTTTCTTCTTTTTTAATTACCTTTTTTTTATTTAGGGCGTATATAAAAAGACTAAGAATTGTAACATGATGATTAATTTTTAAATGAATAAGAGCATTATTTTTCACGTAATGTGTGAATAATGCTAGACAAAATTTTCTCCCAATGTGAAACAGAAGCCTCGGAGCAAGCTGAGATCTATTATCGTCTTTCTCTTCTCTCCTAATCTAACTTATAATGAAGACGTATAGATAAACCTCCTAACATGAAAAGCCGATAATAAGAATGTCTCAAAGCCCTCCTCTTAATCTATATTAAATTTTAATACTTATATTATTTTAATTAATATATCCGCCAATCATATTTTTCTCACCTCTTTTCTCTCGGTTTTAGCTTTTTATAATTTATTATCCACCCCAACTCAATTCTTTCGTTATATTATGCCTTCCCTTAGGTTGTCCAACATTATATTTGATATTAAAGCTTGTTTCCTCATCATGTTTGATAGAAGTGGGTAAACTTACTATGATCTCTTGAAGAAACCGATAGAAAAACAAATCAACTTATGTGTATTCTCAACAAAAGGTTTGCTTGGGCAAATGACAATATATTAAAAAGGCTAAAATATCAAAGGCCTTAGAACAAACTCAGGACAATAATAATAAGCTCAAATCATACAAAAGGCAGATAAAAAATTGGACCAAGAGCAAAATCACATTCAAAACATTAACAATCCTATAAATCACTGTAAAATAATATTTTGAGTACAAATATGAAATAATATATGAAAGGCCTCCTACTCCACCCTTTGCACTACCATGACATATGTACAACGAGCATGCATGAAAATAACCAATGCCACCGAATCATAAAATGAAACTTATAAGTCAAGCCAAACTCTATTAGACCAATATTGAAAATAAAAAACAAATTCAACATGTATGCCAAACTTTGATAGCATATTAGATGAAATGAAAGAAAAACTAAAAGAAAACAATATCACTATATACTATCAAGAACATGTGATAGATCAACTTTAAATCCTTGCACCAAAATAATGTCTATAGCTGAGAACATTAACAAGTTTAATAAACTGATGGTTGGATGTGACCTTCAAGAAAACCACCTATTAAACCATCTCACGATTTGGCACTGCACTAAAACCTGAAATATAAAAAAGTTAATCCTACATGTTCTTTAAACCTGAAATACAAAAAAAATTAATCCTACATGTTCTTAATTCTCTGAAATACACATAATATGACCTTAGAGTGTGATTCATATTCCTATAAGGTTTAGTTCTCAAGTTGAGGAGATATTGAAAATGACAAACCTTCTAAAATTTCCAACACTACATCTATTCAGACTCGATTTAGTGATCCAACCATCGTACATCACCATGATAATAAAGAAAAAATTATTCTTGATTCAATAAAAGATAAAGCAATAATTCTGTTAGTTGCTCTAGCTATCATAAGTCGAGACAGTTCGCATATCAATGTCCATCAAGAGACTTTCACAATAAAAAATGATCTCGAAAATAATAAGATGTTTGAAAAGGAATCAACTCATATATCTCTAGAAGTCACTAGTGATGAAGACCACTAGACTAATGAAAATGATAATTATTAATACTTTATATATATATATATTATATCCATAAAGGTACTAGCATAAATTTTATATCCATATGAATACTCGAAAGAATAAAATTAAAACCTAAGCCACACCCTATAAATAACATGAGAAAATAAAATTACTATTCTTTGTTAATCAATGTTGTCTAATTCCTATTAAATTTATATCTTCTCAAGGACAAATTTGATGTAATGTTCTTCTGATGAAAGTCATCCATCACCCCTTTTATGATGATCATGACTTTGTGACATTATGTGACACACCAACACTTGGCGTTCAACATAAGGCAAACCAGATTTTGAATTCTTCTAAACCAATTGAAGTTAACAAAAACTCACAAAAGCCACACAAAGAGAAATCCTATGTGTGATAAATAAAAAATATTTTGAATATGAAAGCTAATGGGAGAGGATAATTTACGCTCTTATGACTAAATAAGTAGAAAGATCATATGAAAGGTTGAAGACCATCCCAAAGACTTTTCCATAAGGAGCTTAGGAAATTTAAACATCTTACCATGATAAATTACCTCATGAATTACCCTCAGTTGATAAGGAACATAAGGTATTAAGGAATCTGCAGTGTGCACATCGGGTTTCCTGTCCTCGAAATGGACAGTAGCAGAGCCAACAACTGAGAATGAGACATTTCTTCCCTTAAAAACAGAAATGGTTTGGATTTAACTTGCAACATTATCTATTATAAGCATCAGTAGTTGTGATTCATCTCAGGAACAGCCCTGTCAAGAATTTGCAGTATGGCTCAGATGGCTGTGAACTTGGGAATAACGAGAGTAGACTTCACAGAAGGCATTTCACAAACAATTCCATGAGCTAGATCTTTGCCAATGTTACAAGAACTGATGCTGATAACATAGTAGTGAGGCCTGCCAACACATATATGTCAGTTTACTACATTTTCAGAAAGGGATCATAAATCAAATTTTAAAAATTGTGACAAAAAAATAAGACTAGATAAACCTCTGATTCACTCTTCATTATGCATGAATGCACAATTGTAAACACTGTCAACTTGATGATCATATCACAGAATTGAAAATGTACATGGGGCTGAAGCCTATGCATCTGATGTTTCGAACAAGTCGGCAAAACTGATACAAAAAGTATAATTATCAAGGCTGACTTTTTAGTGCCTTGCTGGAAATCTATGGTATGTAGTATGACTAATGGATATTCAGTAGAAAAGCTAACTATGTTTTGATGAGCAAATTTTGCTGTGCAACCAGTGTGAAGAACTATCGCTGCAAAATTCAAAACCAGAATCTAACACGATACAATTACAGAAAGCTCTTTGAGCACAAATGATGGTTCCCTAAATACCTCAAAAAACAACTATTTAAGGCTTTAAACCAGTTGATCTATGAACAGACTATTTAACAAGCACATGGGTACAGGATAGGGTAACATTATGTCTGCAAGACATATATCATGAACTACATAGTTCTCATAACTAAAGTCGCAGTAAGAAATACCTCCAGACGTTGGAATGTGAAGCAGAGGAACATCACCATAACCACTTCCGATGTGATTGTTTATATACACCAATAGCAAGGCTTTGTCTGTGGAATCAAACCTACAGTTCCACTTTGTCGACTGCAGAGCTAATAATTCTCCCTTGAGAAAAGTATAGACGGTCAAACATCTTTCTATGTGAAAGGTTTGGTAATCAAACCATCATTTACCTTTCACCCTGAAATATGCACATTTATCATTTAGAAACACATGTTTCCTTTCACTTGATAAATAAGAAAAAAAGAAACATCAGAAGCTTACAATAAGTTGAGCTTACATGTATAGAGAATTACAAATGTTACTTGGTGATAAGTAACTTGTCAGCACTGGCTGCTTTAAATTCTACTAGGTCAGAATCATACACAAGTAACCTTATCTGCATGAAACAAACTGTCATTTGATGTAATAAGTTTAATAGAAATGTAAATACAAAAGATTGTATCTAAACTTTCCCTATAAATTGTAACTGCATGTAGTAATAGGTTCTGTTTTAGTGTAAATGAAAAAGATTGTATCTTGACTTTCCATATACAGCTTGAAACTTGAGACAAGACCCATCCACTTCTATAATGATCTCCAGATGGAGTAGGAGATGAAAATTTACTTACTTATAACAAAGATATAAAACTTTAAGAGTTTCAGAGATAAAGTTATACGTAATATTGTGGCTGTACATCAGGTTGAATATCACAATGTATTCGTGGCATTGAAAATAGTCCATGCACCAGAAGCCATACCTCCTAAGTAGGATTTTGCAATATAATAGAGAAATGTCATTTCATACAACACTAAAACATTCTCATGAGTGAACTAGTAGGGAGATATATTTCTGGGAAATAAACTTAACAAGGCAAGAATTAACATAGGCAGTTTACGCTACTACAACACAAGACTAAACTATTAGATAATGAGCAATATCATACATTTAACATTATCTTTTCCAAAATCATAGCCTTATGGAACTAATCAATCTGATGTGTTTATAGCAAACTCCTGCTCATGTGAAGTTTCCATTAAATTGGGTCACAATTGTCTCTCCTAAAACAGCTAAAAGTAACACCTATTCAATTTTCTTGTATATACACATCACATTCTAATGGATTGAATCATGCAATCTTAGAAATTTAACAATTCTCATGCCAAGTGTTTTATAGCATTTTTCAAATATAATGAACTACACACTATTGCAACAGCTCAAGCAAACCACTAGCTTTTCAGGTTATCTAATGACTGATATGACTTTGTTTGGGAATGCCAACATAGCCCATTCATTCTGCTGAATTGTTTGGGAACACCTGCATAATCCTTTTCATTCTGCTTAATCAATAACTCAGTAATAGTTTACCATTTGCCATCTAAGCTAAACCAATGGTTTTAAGCCTTCAATAGAATCAATTAAACTCGGGGAAGATATACCTTCTACAAGTACATCAAATAAGCAAGCAGTAATATAGGTAATTGAACACCTATATAACCCAAGAGCTTAAGCTAACTCATGCCATCAATCTAGGACTAACCAGTCATGTGCTTCATGCAAGAGACGTATATATAT